TATGTATTTTTGACAAAATTTTTTTCAGAAGTAAGTAAAAATCAAGTGTCACTTAAGTGTGTATATAACTAATTTTTATAAACATTTGTAGAACTAATTAGTAAAAACTGGAATTTTTAAAATACAAAACTGTCGGTCATGTTTAAAATATTCCATACTTATTTGCTTTGTACATTTTCTGGACTTAAATTTAAATCTGAACACGTAATCTTCAATGTTAATAAGAATGGCTGAATTTCAGTGTTTTCAGTGGATGGCTTACTTACTGTGAGAAAAACACATTCACTTCATGGGAAAAAAGAAGCTAATACTTTATTACAACAAACACGACCAGTCAGGGGACCCATTCACCAAATGTTTGATGTCAAGAATGAAATCGGCTTTGTTGCAAAGCAACAGATTTAAGTGAAGCAAAAATTCTATCTTCTGCTGAATAGTTTTTCACGTTTCAGGAATGTATGTTTAATTTATAGGAGCTAACATTTAAAAAAAAGTAATCTGCCTGCAGTTTGAACTTTAATTAGTCATTTAGACTCATTCATTATACTTACTAAAGATGTATTTTCTGATAGAGCAGTTGCTTGAAATTTTTTTCTTTTTAAAATCTTATTTTAAATTTCTTTGAACTGTATTCATTGATATGCTTGAGCTTATTAAGGTATAAGTGTTAAAAGGCAATACTAATTTAATCATTTCCCAAATTCAAGAATATAAAGTATGACTCTGACAAAGCATAGAACTACTCACAGTATTATGGGCGATTGGAAGATTAAGCTGTGATCAGTCTTCTTCAGTGTGTTTATATGTGTGTATGTGTGATTTGTTTTTGCAGTCTTTCAAAAATGCTTTTCAGAATCATATGTATTCTTTGCTATTTGCTCTAAAAATTTCAGAAGGTTCCTATCAATGTACCCATGTTTATTGTATATTTATGTAGAGCATATACATACATACATACGTCCACACATATATATATATATATACAGACGATACATATAATTTTACAAATTGAAATTTTAAATTTATCTTACTTCAACTGTATTTCATATGTCCACTGAACCCTCCCAGCCTCTACAATTATTAATTTCTGAGACCTTGACTTTTTATTTCATTTGTCTCTTCTACCTTTTTTATTGACTCACTGTCCTCCACCAGGAGTCTGTGTTTGCATTCTGCCTCTTCTTTCTGATAGCATCTGGTTCTCATAAATAATCCCAGATGAAACTGAGCAATCTTGCCCTGTTACGCCACTAACTATATAATTCATCATTATCAGATCTATCCAAGCTAAACATTAGCCCCAACTATCCGGATTCTTCTCATGGGATTCAGGATTAATTGGGACTCCGATTATAAGCAGGAGACTATCTCCAAAACGTTGACCTTTGTCTGCGGTCTTGTTCTCTGATCTAGCCTTGGGCTAAAGGCTGTATTCCTAGATGCGTATTGCCAGAGGTGTTCAGCTTATTGAACTGTGAGCCATATAATCACTAGACCAGAATCCCATATATAGAATCAAAGGCAGACTTAATGCAGATTAGGGACAGGGCCTAATGTTTATGCAATATGGGTTTATATAAAGATGGATTAAACAAAATTATTCCTGTTCTCAGTTAGCTTACAGCCTAATAGAGGATACGGCAGAGGTACGTTAATAATCATAATATAGGGCGAAATATCGGCCACAGAAGTGGCGGTTTATCTGAGCCTAACGAACAGAGCCAAGATTTTTTTCAAAGTGTTCAAAATTGGCTCTCTCTCTGCTCACTATGGCTGAATGTAAGTAAATTGCTTAAATGCTTCGTATCAAGTTCTTTATTAAAAAAAAATTAAGCAATAATAGCTACTTCGTGAAATCTGCAATTAAATGAGGAATGCATATATAAAATGCTCATAACCTATAACTGGTATCAAATAAGTGTGCAATAACATGTGTATGCAAATATGTATGCATTTTTGTATATGTACATATGTATTCAATTTATATTCAAATTCATGGGCCAAGTTTACAGGGAATACTATGATTTCAGTTTTTGACATACTAATCTTGGGCTCTACGGTAACTCAAAAGTTGGATGTATCAGCCTGGAGCCAGCAGAAAGTTCTGGAGTGAAGATGAAATGACAGGGACTGTCGTGCGGCACTTCAGGGAGATAGAACCAAAGAATGTTGGGAACCAGGAGCGTAAGCGCCTTAGACCAGTTTTTACACAGCTGAGAGGAGCCAGCAGACAGACTCAGAAAAAGAGCAACGGAAACATGGCTTCCTCTTATCGCTGAATCAGCAGGGATAAGAGGAAGTCGTCTGAGGAGCAAGCGGCCGATCGGGGGCATTTCCAGTGTCTCCCGTGGTCCCATCGTCCTGCCCAACGCTGACAGGCAGTGACTTCGGAGCTCGTACCACCAGTGGACAAGTATGAGGCTGGAGTTGGGTGTGGGGCGTTAGGCCCAAGAGTAAAAAAAATTTGTAGGCAGAATTCAAATTTGAGATTCATTAAATCTCAGAAAAAGACTTAGGGATTTGGAATAATGTCTTTGTTAGGTTTTCCTTGTAAAATTGAAAAAATAAAACAGATCTACCTGCATGTCTGCTCAGGCAGCATGAGGCAGTAGGAGACAGGTCGTGCCTCACGTCATCCACGCGTGAAGTGTAAGTGTACCCCCGTGTGTATGAAGGTGGTTTGTGGCAGCTGTTAAGCGGAGAAGCGGGGCTTGGGGACCGATGTACGCGTCCCAGGAGGCCCCGCGGGGACGTAGGACCGCCACTGGGCCGCGTCTCCAGCCGGAACCATCTCTCGTCCCTGGAGTGCTTCGAGAATCTGAAAAGTGTTAGCGTTGCTCTGCCATGAAGGCAGTAAGTTTGAACTTGCTGCACATTATCCTGGGTAAACAATATGTTTCTTTTTGCACACGGAGTTAGAGAACACATCAGCAACACTATTTGTGTAGTTTACAGACAAAGAAAGAAATCACATGTTTCTGACCAAATGAGTTAGTCATAATTTTATGTGGTTTTCCATGTGTGTGTCATCAGACACTTTAGAATACCAAAGATAAAACCTTTGCTTGGCAGTTACTGGGTTATTTGTTAACAAGCACGTACGAGTTGATTAGATAGCAGTGTGCACATCAAAAATATTCAAGTTTTGCATTTTAAAATTTCTAATTCAATACGTCTTCCACAGGGCCAGCATGAAATTTCTGAGAGCTCGATGTCTCATAGACTTATACTACAGGGGGATCTTTAAGAGGAGAGGGTGATCAAAATGTTTTCCTGAATAATGTCATCATTGGGATGAGTCAAAACTTTTATGGGGGAACAAAAATTCTGAGAGCTATGACACAGAAATTTTTAGATTAAAAACGGATCATGTATGTGTCAGTGTTTTTCGTTTTTCTTGTTTGTAAAACAAGAACAAGAAAAATGAGTAATTTAGGGTGCATTCTGATGACGAGCCAGCGTGACCCTAAGCACGTCACAGTCCCCGAAGCCTCACTGGGGAAGGTTCTCGGTGAGGAGACCGAGGTTCAGTGGGTGAAGTGCGATGTCAGTAGGAAATGAGAGCCCCGAACCCCCCATCCTTTTCCCCCGGGCCCCTGGCTGAGCTACCCCCTCTCTGCAGTCGTCACGTGCCCCCTCCTCCCCATGGCGGTCCCTTTACACACACACACACACACGCACACACAGATATTCTCTAGTTTAAGTTTTTTTATGATTCAACCGGAGGGAGAAATGCTAACATGATTCAGACCATTAATTTCCATTTTGCCAAACTGTATATAATTAAACACACATTTAGGAGATTTAGGCCAAACGTTGGCCATCAATAATACTCCTGAATATATTTATTTTAGCTTTAATATGTCCCTTGTGAGAAATTCAAATTCTGTGACAAGATTATTGTCTTCCAATGGCCCACAAACTTCAACTGGCACATAGCGAGTGTCCCTCACAGGTGACTTTGCACGGAGCTCGTGCCTGGTGCTGAGCTCTGGGCGCAGCTCGTCGGGGTCCCAGCACGCCTCGCCGAGCAGCGCCCGTCCAGCTGCCCGCGACAAACAGCTCCGCATCTGAGTCACGGGGATCAAATCCCAGCTCCCTCACTAGGTCTGTGGCCTTATTTTATTCTAGATACAGTTCAACAGATCTTCGGAGTTTCTATTTACAGCAACTAAAGTTTAAAAGTGATTTTGAAAACACAGCTAAAGGCAGATGATTTGGCTTTTACTTGTGGGACAGCGCAGAGACTGACCAGGGAGGGCACCTGGCCTTCCCCACGAGGAGCCGCTGACTCCGTGTGTCCAAGGTCCCGTTATGTGTCGGCTTGTCACTGTGTTGGGGTCAGAACGAGTCATTTCACATTTACGTTGAATACTAAATAGATGCAACAGAAATGGTTCCAGGTCAGCTCACTGACGGGACATGACTTCCCGCAAGCAGACGCTTACAGTTTTGAGATATAACCTTGAAGCTGATTTTTCCTACAAATGAATTCTTGTTGGTACAGAAACAGGAATTTAAAGACGTCAGGAATCCAGCGGAAATTTTTTGACCTTAACGTCGAGAGTCACCGCTCGCGGTACAGTTTGTGACACCGCCTTTGTTTACAGCAGGTGCGCCAGCTACTCTGCGCCCATGGGTGTCCTCCAAATCTGGCTTGAGTTGTTTTAATGTGATTGCAGAGAAACCAGCAGTGCCTCTTCTGTGGTGTTTCAATGACATCGTTGTATTCTACATTGCCGCATCCGCGCCTTCAAAACAGAACGAGAAGTCGACGTACTCTTTTTGTGCAGCATCAGTAGGAAAGAGTTGCACTATAACTTCATAAATAAAAATATTTTTTGTCACAAAATTAAAATTCATTCCATCACTTGTCTGTGTTGAGAAATCGAAGCCATTTCTAAATTCTCTTCAGTAGTGTTATCTACAGCTAATTATTGCTCATTGCGGTTGTTTTTGTACTTCGTGAATATCGAGACTTGATCTTCCTTTCTGTCTAGGATCCCCGGCCTTGACTGGAACTGGGACAGTCCATGTTGTAGTAGATGACGCCAATGACAACATCCCCACTTTTGCCAGTAAAATGTATTTCACTGCGGTTCCCGAAGATGCACCCACGGGAACAGACGTTTTACTGGTGAACGCCTCAGATGCTGATGCTTCCACGAACGCAGTTATCAGGTCAGTGCATTTGCCTTTGTAAATTTGGATTATTTTTCCCATTCAACATTAGTCTTTAGAAAATGAATATAATGCTTAATTTTGCTAGAAATTTTGTGATATTAACACATGGCTTTATCGTAGTTATCTATTGTTGAATAACCAACTATGCCTGAAGTGAGAATTAAAACAATAATGATTTTATTTATTGTGCTGAAATTTTATTTTATGTATTAATTGTATTTATATTTTATCATAACTCATGATTTTGTAGGTCAGGATTTAGAACAGGGTTCAATGGGAGAGTCTTCTGAGTCGTGTGGTTGACGGGTGACACTCAGTGGTATTTGTCAGGTAGCTGGGTGGCCCAGAGAGTCCAAGATGGCTTCACTGACGTGTGTGGTGCCTTGGCAAGGATGGCTGGACGGTTGTGGTCAGCGGGGCCTGTCTCTGGTCTGGTGGGCTCAGGGCTTCTCAGTGTGGTCCGTTAGCAGGGTAGCCGGACATCTTACACTGTAGCTCTGAGCACCTCAAGTGAAAGCTGACCGAGCTCTGAGAGACCAGGCCTGGAAGTGCCATAGTGTTACTTCCACGTCCATCTGTATAAGTGGGATACAGATGACTACTCTGCACTTTGTGAGTCTTAAATATATATTGACCACCTGCTGTGCGCCAGGTTAATATGCATACGTGCCTCTAACACAATTATCGGGATGTAAAGTCACTAAATTCACGTTAGATTTTTAAAATTTTATCTGCCTCAAGTCTGTCTTCTCTCTAATACATTCTTCCCTGCACGGTGCTTGCAACATGAGTGAGTGCACTGAATGAATGATTCTAGTGTTTTTTTTCGAACTTCTGCTTTGACTCACTTTTTTCCCTCCATAGTTTTGAGAGAGTGGGTCACTACCTCACATTTTCTCTGCCCATTCGTTCCCGAAAATCTTTCAATCTGATTTTCTCCCCCATTGCTATCCAAAGATGCTACTGAAATTTATCAAAGCGTGACTTTCTGAGTCTCGAGTCTCCGTTACGTGTTGCAATATTTGCACCACGGGGCTGCCTTCCTTTCTGGTATTGTTTTCCCCCCTGCGTCTGCCTAAATGTTATTTCTCATTTCTCACCTGCTGTCTCTAACCGCACCTTCTCACTTGCCTTCTGTATCTCCTCTTTCTTTCTCTGCAAAGTCATTTGAACATTCCGCCAGCATTTTTTCAGTCCTTTTTTTCTGCGTGTGGTGTGTGTGTGTTGTGTGTGTGTGTGGGTGTGTGTGTGTGTGTGTGACAGAGAGAGAGAGCGGGGGGAGGGAGGGGGATAGAGAAGGGGGGGGATCATCCATTACTATGGCTGCAGCCATCAGAAAACTTACACAGAAGAATATGCAGAAAGGCAGAACACCTTGAAATCTGCTCCGGCAACTCCACCGCAGAGAGACTCCCCCATATTTATAACTTTCTAGAAGACACCTGTATCTGGAGGTTCCGTTGGCATCGTCAGCACAGGGCATCAGAAACCCCCAAGCCTCCCTGTCTGTCATCTTGGCTCTGTACTCTCTCTTCATGACGCTGCCTGGCTCCCGTCACCCACGCTTGGTGCCTGAGGGTCGCCCGCGCCCCCTGCACTCAGTGGACGAGCTCTCACGTTCCTCCTTGGGGGGCGGGGGGGAGAGAGAGAAGGGGGGGATCATCCATGACTATGGCTGCAGCCAACAGAAAACTTACACAGAAGAATATGCAGAAAGGCAGAACACCTTGAAATCTGCTCCGGCAACTCCACCCCAGAGAGACCCACCATATTTATAACTTTCTAGAAGACACCTGTATCTGGAGGTTCCATTGGCATCGTCAGCACAGGGCATCAGAAACCCCCAAGCCTCCCTGTCTGTCATCTTGGCTCTGTACTCTCTCTTCATGACGCTGCCTGGCTGCCGTCACCCACGCTTGGTGCCTGAGGGTCGCCCGCGCCCCCTGCACTCAGTGGACGAGGTCTCACGTTCCTCCTTTCCTGACACTTTGGCACCCAATCTTTCCTGCCCGCTCCTCCTGCCAAGATCCTAGTTCGGTCCATAATTACATCAAGCTGAGGCTATCACAACAGAAACTAACTTGCTTTCCTGACTCCGATTTCTAGTCCCTCCAAGCGACATCTCCGGCACTTAGTTCAAGTCTGAGGAGTTAGGCACCCCAGATCCCATGAGGAGAAGACGATTCTGTGACCTTGTGATTAGAGGACTTTATAAGTAGTATAGTTTAAGCACAGTCTGTGCGGCCTGAGAAAATCCGTAGGAGCTTCACATGATGGATGGTTTTTGGAGGGACAGAGTCGTCCATGCACAAACAGGGGTGAGGGGCACAGAGGCGAGGACGGCAGCAGGCTCAGGACGGCGCGGGGCGGGCACCCCGCGAGGCAGGGCCGCCCGTGCTGGGGGAGGATGTGGGCGAAGCGGGGCCCGGCGCGGCGAACGACAGGCGGAGGC